CTACTATTTTTTTCGAGCAAATACATGGCGAAAATTTGACCATAAAATGTGTTTTTTTGTTCTAAGTCTGTCAAAAATTCAAATTTTTTTTTCTCCTTCGTCCAATAAAGCGACTTAAGAGATGAGGTACCAACGGCTGAGTTTTCGGAATTTTTAAATAAAAATTTCACAAAATACTGTTTAAATATGTATCTTTAATATGCTGAATTGTTTAAATAAAATATATGATTGTATATACTGAAAAAACAAATAGTAAAAATACCCTTTTTTTGAACCTCTGAAACCCACCTATCCCCTTAAGAGCTCTCTCCAAAGGACAGCTCAAAAAAAAATTTTTAAGAGGTCGCTCCAAATTTTTTTAAATTTCAAAAATCGTCAAAAATCGAATTTTTTTTTAAAATTTTTTTTCTTGTTACGTCATAATTTTTTAGACCAAAAAAAAATAAGTTCCTGAAAGTTTCAGTTCAAAATTTAAATTTTAAAAGGTCGCTCAGAATTTTTTTTTAATTTATTAGTGCATTACTTGAGATTTTTTTGAGCGACCTTTTAATATTCAAATTAAAATTCCATGCATTTCTTTTTTCTTTATTTAGTACAATAATCGATAAAAGTATACCACTTGATGTACTAAAAATCAAGCACAATATAGTAAACATAATTTTTTTTTTATTTAATAATTTTACAAAGAAAATGTATCATTATATTTAATTGTTTTTTCTCTGAGTTCTCAATATTTCGTGAATTTATCTGAACGCCTCTTTTTTTTTTGCCAAATTCCTATACTGATAAAAAATTTATGTTGACTCAAGAGATATTTTCTTGATCTAAGAATTTATTTTGGAAGACAAATGATTATTTTGTTCTAAGAATTTCTTGTCTTGATTTAGATTTTCTTGGCTTAAGAGCTATATTATCTTCAATCGATACATTTAAGTTTTTCAATCAAAATAACATTATCGTTTAAAACTTTTAAAATAATTCATCAAAGTATAATTCAAAAACTAAATAGTCTTTAATTGTTATACCAAAAAATAATTATTTCTTAGAAATAAGTAAATTAATTAATGACTCAAAAAAAAAAAGCCATTCTTAACACAAGTCGGTAACATCTTGAATCAATGTTATCGCCTATCTTGAACCAAGAGACAAAAATTCTTGAAAGAAATATATCTATATCTAGTTTCAAGAGTTCAAGTTTTGAAGAAAACAAGTTTTTTGAATCAAGATTGTTTTTCTATCAGTGTACTATAGCCCCGAGAATTGATTTACAGCTACTAAAAGATCTGGTTTAATTTAAAGAACAAAATCAAAAGTTTGGTTCAGCAGCACTAAAAAGTTTTTCTCGACATTTATGGTACATTAGTGACTATTTAATTGGATTAACATTTTTTGACTCTGAAATTTAAAAAAAATTATGAGCGACCTTTGAAAATCTAAATTTTGAACTGAAACTTTCAGAAACTCATTTTTTTTTGGTCTATAAAATTATGACGTAACGAGAAAAAAAAAAAAAAAAATTCGATTTTTAACGATTTTTGAAATTAAAAAAAAATTTGGAGCGACCTCTTAATAATTTTTTTTTGAGCTGTTCTTTGGAGAGGGCTCTTAAAACATCAAAAACTAACATTTTTTCGCTCGAGACTAAAAAAAAAAATAGTCGGTTTTTTTTGCGCCACCCTAGTATATATAATTCATATTTATTATTTATTTAATTCTTTCCATGAGGGCAACTTAACCATGAGACAATAAATAAATGAATAATAATTATAATAATAACGATTGTCATTATTATAATTGTGTGCAGAGAGTAGCCAATCGTTTGTTACACAGCACTCACTATTCTCCTAACACAACTCATATTACTGACCGCACACAACTATAATCATGACAAGATAGTATTATTAAAGAATGATGATAATTATGAACATTTAATTTTCTTTGTGTACTGTTCAAAATACTAATCAATGAAGTTTTATTATCTCCGTGTAGCTAAATATCAGGTAATTTAGATCGCAATATTCGATAGCAAATTGAGTTCTTATGAAATTCTCCAGACTTATCAAAATATTAAATTATAAAAAAATAATTATAGACTGATAAATATAGATTTCGATATTTTAGCAATTCGGCGAAATAGTCAATCAACTAGTTGATGATGCAACTCCGTCTATAGTACTCAATTTCAAGTCGAGAAAGGAAGCTGAAATTGCGATGCTCAAAGGTCGAACATTTCAAGACAGGTTACTTTCAGTAACATGGATTTCGACGCATCATTTACATCGTGGTGGTGTAGGAGCAACACTAACTACTAATCCTCATTCAGCTGTTTCTTTAAGCTCCGATCAAGTGAGTATTCTAGATGAAAAAATAAATTAAAAGTGTAACATGGTCACTACAAAATCACGCATTTTAAAACCCATTAAATTCAAAGAATTACCGTTTTCAGAGTTTTTTTCTCTCAAAAGCGTTGACTTTTTCTGAACGTTTTCTATCTATTTAGCTTTTTCTTTAAATTGTCTCAGATATTTGAATTAATGTCTTTCGATTTTCTTTTTTTGTTTTTTAAGTTTAAGTGATTTTTTGGAACGAAGTTCTATATGGGGCCTTGCGGAGGGGTACTCTAACCGGCAAAAAACGTCCGTAACGTTATAAAAAAAGCGTGAGATTTTTATGTATAGTCTATGTATGATGGCTATACAGTGTCTAATGTATAGTCTACGTGATGACTGAACTTCGTTCCTATCTGGTGTCCCACGACACCACACGGTTTTTAGTAGATTTTATAAAAATCTAACTATTGTAGCCGTCCTCATGGCGCAACTTTCAAAAAATTTAGCCATTTTCTGACTCAGTTTGTCGAGCTGAGTCAGAAAATGTAGTCCGATCAAAAGTTTATATGGGGCATTTCATACCAAATCGGCCACTTTTTTAGGTCGACCTCTCTAATTTTTTTGAAAATTTTATGTTTTTAATACCGTCAAAGAACACTTTCATGAATTTTTTGAAAATTTTTTTGACCACGCGTTTCTGAGATATTGATTTCTTCCAAAATTCAAATTTTTTTTTTGAAAGAGCTATAACTCCGCGAAAAATATAGCTATCGGGGTCCCGTTTTTTTCAAAAATTTTTTTTTCATGCTCTTTCAAGAAAAAAATACCTCTTTGATCTCCCTTGATTTATTCCTATTTTTTTTTGTTTTAAGCAAAAGTTATTTTAAATAACAACACTTATGTAAACATAATATTATCACGTAAACCTATTTATATTTTTATTTTATATAGGTTAGAAACTTACAATTGTGCATGCGGTCAACTACTGGTGTTTTGAAAAATAGGAGGTTCCACTAGATGACCGAAGTCATTTATTGATGGTACAACGGTGTTTTATTGTGCCAGTATCTGACCGGTCGTTGAATTGGTATTTATTTGATTGTTTTTGTCAAATCTTATTGAGAGATTTGTTAAGAAACTATTAAAGACTACTTCAGAATTTAATTTGGCAAGATTAACCTAATAGAAACTTTTTTGTTAAGTAAAACATGTAGTCGCCTCTCGGATACTCTACTATTGTATTTGACCGATTTTAGTCAGATTATGCGGTGAAAAATTTTCATGAATTATTTTCGATGTTCTAAAAATTAAATAAAATCTGGAATACCTATTCATTGTAATGATTATAAGTTCAACAATAGTTAAAAATAAATTTCAGGGTCATAAAAATTAATAATAATTTTCGGACTTTTTTATGAAAACGGTCAACTACTGGTGCCCGGTCAACTACTGGAACATTTACCCTATTTTTTTCATTATTCAAAAATTTTTTTTTTTTTTAAATTGCATGTATTTACTTTTACACTCTCATGCATGTGCTCGGATAATTATTTTTTTGTACCAGAGAAACAATTTAATCAATATTTTCATTAATTTACCATTTATTTATTAATTTAATGAATTGGAGTTTATTCGTAACATCAAAATAATTAGCCTTTTTCAAATTCATCATGAACGTATTAAGCGCCATCTTTTGACCACGAGATTGACTAGATTTCTTGTTTGTGTAAGTACATTTTTTATGTTGGTTGCATTGGCTTTTATCACGGTATTTGTTTATTTTGGTGGATTGACGTTAAATTTTTGATTACTGCTGTTAAAACTAACTTTAATTTAATTTCATATTTAAATTAATATTAACACTTACTTAATATAATGTTTGATTATACAATTATTTGAAATAGTTGTTAATTATTTAAATAAGAGTTGAGTAATTAATTTTCAATAGTACGGTATGTTTACAAAGATCAGTAATCAACAATTAAACGTTGAAACACTAAATTTTTGTTTGATTTTAAAAATTTAATTATTTAAGCCATTAATCCTTGCGGATAGGGAAATAATCGCTTAAACTTCAGAAAAAGTGGGATTCGCTGCTCTGGGATATTCCGCTCCCGTGAACCAATGAATGTCTTTGTCTTTATATGATTTTTATTAATTTAGACAGAAGTTCTCACGCGTGCCAGTTAATTTATTTTACTTACTTACATTATTAACTGCGGTGATTATTCTGTGTCCTTGATTGACCTTTTTGATTGAATATAGCTAGTCGTAGTAAATAGATAGGTGAATAGTGGTACACGGAAAGAAAATTGTACGAAAAATTATGATGGAAACATAGTAATTTTTAGTATAGAACATTGTAGTGCCGGACCAGAACTCAAACATTGTAATTTATACGTTGCAACATCGTAAATTTCTATCACTCAAATGAAAAAGAAGTTTAGTTCACCGAAAAAATAATTCCGTGTCACCGAGGAATCGAACCCGGTATTTTCTCCGCTACAGGCCCAAGGCTTACCCCCTTACGCCATCAGAAGCAACTTGGTCAATCTCTACCTGAAACCAAGGTCTACGTAAACTTTCGGCAACCAGCTCAGCTTCATCAGCTGAGAGATCGTGTGCTGAAAAAGTTTCCTCATGTTGATCGTAAGCATGTCTGGATTTATGATGGAGCCGTTTTTCTACGAAAGACAAAAGATGATCGGCCGGTAAAAATCCTGCCTTCTACGGACTTACAACGATTAACTATTTAACTATACGGGTCTCTTACAACGTCAATTCCTATTAAAAATGCTGAACTTACTGTACTTAACGTCTGCTCACTTAATGCTCAATCTTTAATGGCACATTTCTGTGAGTTTAAGGAGTTCTTCAGGGTGAACCCATACCATGTGATAGGAATCGTAGAAACATGGCTTTGTGATGCAATTTCAGATCACCAGGTCAACCTGCCAGGCTACACTATGTTGCGTGTTGATCGACATAGCAAACGAGGTGGTGGAGTTGCGCTCTACATCCGCAATGAGCTCAATGCTCGTCTTCTTAGCTCGTCAACTGGAGCTGGAGAAGTTATATTGCCAGAATACCTAATCGCAGAAGTATGGGGTCCATCTCAGCACAAGATTCTGGTTGCTATAGTTTATCGGCCGCCAAAAGCAGGCCACATGTGCACGTTTGAAGATGACTTTGAGACTAGAATGATTAATTACAGGTTTGTGTGCGTTCTTGGTGACTTCAATGCGGACTTGCTAGTGAATAATGATAAGGCAGTTAGACTACGAGACTTCTTTACAAGAAATGGAATGAATGTTGTTCCACTGCAGCCGACTCATCACACTGCTGATGCGAATACTTGGATTGATGTTTGTGCTGTTAGTCATCTATTGGCTCTTGAATCATGGGGACAGTCGGGCCAACCTTTCTTGTCTTCTCATGACTTAATTTATTTCTGCCTGAAGTATAAGCATCAGAAACCGACAAGGAGAATAGTCAAGTGTAAATCATGGAAAGAGGCTGATTTTGGAGCAGCAGCAGATTTGACTAACTTGAGGCTTCCGGAGCTCGATATTGATTATGGTGATGTTGGACAGACTATAGATTCGCGACTAGATAAGCTAAATAATTTGATTAAAGACATTGTGGATCAGTGTGTTCCCGTGCGTGAGTTTACGGCTAAACGTCGCTCAGCTCCCTGGATAACCCAGGAGCTGCGAGACATTCGTAGAGAACGTGATAGGTGCTATCGGCGCTTCAAAAGAAATGGTCACCGGCAGGCCTGGGAACATTATGTTAGGCTACGTCGTCAGGCGCAGGCAATGTGGAAGACAAGTCAAGCGAACTATCTTCAGTCAGTGTTTAGCCGTGTTGGGTCTACGAAACAGTTCTGGAGTGAAATGGACAGACTCGGGTTGACAATAGCTGCTACAAAGTCACGGGATGTTCTGCGGTTTAGTTCTGAGGAACTAAATAACTATTATGCAACTATAATTGAAGGCAGAGAGCTCCCACTGTTTGACGAAATGGTTGCGGGGTTTGTTCAGCTGAGGACGAATGTTCGGTTTGCGTTCTCACATGTTAATGTCTGTGATGTAGTTAAGTGTCTCTCGGTTGGCTCCTCTCGAGCTGAGGGGGTTGATGGAATTTCAATTCATGTGCTGAGAACCTTCAAAGATCTGCTTGGACCGTTGATCACAGGTCTTGTTAACGCGTCAATAAATAGTGGCTTCTTCCCGACCCGGTGGCGATCGTCGCTTATAACACCTATACCTAAAGTTCGTGACCCGCAATCAGCTTCAGACTATCGTCCGATCTCAATATTATGTGCGATGTCGAAAATATGTGAACGTGTGGTGCTTGACCAGATCATTAAATTTCTCAATGACTACGACGTGCTTGATCAACATCAAACTGGTTTTCGACCTGGTATTGGTACTCAAACTGCTGTTCTTAAGTTCGTTGATGATATTCGGTTCGGCATCGATGAACAGCTGATTACCTTGGCAGTGTTTTTGGACTTAGCAAAGGCATTTGATTCTGTTGATCACTTGCT